ACTTTGATCAATAATTGCTTAAACCACCTCAGTTTAGGTGACTGCAAAAGTCTGTATGTCTCAAGCAATCACCTAACTGTGGAAATATCTCTGTCAAATTATCAACAATTATAAGGAAAATTATAAACCAATTGTTTAAAATGGTAATAGTGCATCTCCTCTGTGAGACTGTTCAATCTCATATACAGCAATGAGAACAACTATGAAAGGAGAAGCACTGATATCACCTTCAATGAGCTTGAAACTTTCTCACATGTAGATGAAACATCCTATCTTTCAAATACATAATGCATTAGACGATCCAGTATGGATTGGTAAAATTACCTACTGTCTGAAGAAAGAACTGGAGCTTCTTTGTGATCTTATGATATAGCCCTTCAGAGAGTTGATGTTATGTATTAATCAAGTATTAGATGTTCTTAGTAAGTCAAGTGTGCAGTTACTGGTGGTTACTGTCATAAATGTCAGAGTTCTGGGGACACCCATAGGCCCTGACTGGGTCCATCCTCCCATGGGAGCTCCCCCCCCCCCCCTTCTACGCTGGTGCAGGGGCTCCATGTCAGTTTGGGGTTGGCGCCTAGACCCAATCTGGTCACTGCTGGAGGTGTGCAGGTCTCGAGTCCTGTCTTCTGGATGGACCCTGGACACACATAATAGCCTTCATTCCAGACCCGTCTCCAGTCCTGAGTGACACATGAGCCTGCCTTTCCACCCTGATGTGTCTGAGACTGTTAATGGACCCTGTCCCAAGCACCTTTCTCTGCCCACCCTACCTCACTTCTGCAGGACTGGCTGTGAGCACTGCCTCTTTCTGGGGTCACCCTTGACTTCCAGCTCATCCTCCCTTGTTCTTGCTGTTCCCCACATTAAGTCTAGCAATAAGCCGAAAATTAAGAGAATTCTAAGACTGGTCATAACAGTGTTCAATAGCCAACAAAGAGCCAGAGACCAGAGAAATGCAAAAACAATGACAATAGAAGTATATAATTAGCCTATTTTGTTCAATATTGGTTGAGACAAATTGCGTTCAGCAAATGCACGGAACTCCAAAGATGTACCTATAATGAAAACCCAGCTTCTCTGAGCCTGCATAAATCTCTATGATGAACAAACAGTGAAAAACATACCTATGCTTCAAAATTAAAAATGAATGAGCCAAATCCTGAAAACTCTCCTCTCCTTAACTCACTGTGTTTGAATATACTAAAATTCACCAATAAACTATTACACAGTCAAGCTGCTTCATTCTCTTCAGGGAGGATTTCACTGTCTTCTCTAACCCTACCAAAAAGAATAGCTTAACTTCTTAGCATTCTTTTTGCCTGAGGTACAGAAAAGAAGGTCATTTTATGATGCATGTAAAATGTTCAGTTTATCCTGGAGGTACAATCTTCACTCTTCTTCATAAGTACTCCACCTAGGACATTTTAAGTATGGTATGTTTAACTAAATAATCTCGCAGTTGATTGCAAGTGAAATTTGTCACCACCAAGTAAGGAGAATTAACTGAATAGAAAACTCATCAAGAATTGAGGAAGGTTATGTTTGAGTGGAAAGCAAAGAGGAAGAAGACCACAATTACTTACTTATTAATTCTGCAAGACAATTAAATATATAAATATGATTCAAAATAACAACTTCCCATGTGCTGCTATCTTTGCATATACCTGGGGGTTTTTATGCAAAATATTCAATACTCTTTCAGAGGCTGAATGAATATGGTATATATAAAGGTGATATAGGTCATACCTCAGGGACTGTTCAAGCCCTTGAGAATAGCAAAGACTGCAAAATGGAAAACACAAGAATACCTCTAGAGGAGTGGAATTTCCTAGCAATGGCTCCAAGCTCAATCAAACTCCCTCTAAATTTGTAATCCTGGTGCAATTCTGCAGGTGGGTTTTCTCACCAGAAGGTTCCCTCAGCATCCCATAAGGGAAAAAAATTTAGAATCTTTCCCAGTTCTGCTATAGATAGTATGAATGAAATTAAGAAAAAAATCTGCTAGCACCAACCAATAAATACTCTTCATGGCAGCTGTTAGTAAGTAGCCTTACACCTTTCAGCAATGTATTTCTATTATCTCATAGCACACAACCCTTATATTTCTCTGTCAGCAGGCCATGGTTACCTGGATGGGTGCTGAATCTTTCACTGGTTCAGCAGATCTAGTGAGATCCTTGTTCCTTCTGACAACATTTCCCTTAAATGTAGAAGGCAATGCCTTCTTGTTCATAAAGAGATTATTGAAATGACATAAGCTCTCTTTTACTAGATAGTAAGAAAGAGCTTGAGGTCTGAACAAAATTAATCTGGTGCCCTACATTTTGAAACAGTTGAAGAGTTGTTGACTGCTGTGACAACTTTCCTGTCCCCTTCAGTCCATCAATCTCTGACGTCCAGTGCTTTGCACTGCTGAAGAACAAGAGAAATGGTTTCACAAGACATTTTCACTGCCTCAAAATCCTCTCAAAGACCTGAACACTTACTAACAATTTATTAGGATTCAAAACAGATACCATCTGTCTAGTCATTCTGCCTGTTCTGGTTTTTTTTCTTTCCTTTCAGGTAACTAGTCTGTACCACGTTGACATGTTTTTCTGCCCTCTAGTAATAGCCTCTGAAAATGGGACTTCCTGGTGCAGCAGCATGCAAAGATTTGCTCATATATATATGAGTATATATGGAGGTGTAATCATGTAGCCTCTGCTTCTTAACCCTGATGGTCAGGGTAATGGCTTTATATCTTCTTCTTTAGGTAATTGAAACCAATTTTCCTTTTCACCTACCTTTGACTTTTACAACAATATGTTCTAAAATAAATAAACAGAAAAATTTAGAAAGGGCTTTACAAAATGGTGTTACCAATTTATCAGAATATAGAGATTAATTCAGAAAATTCAAAAATCAATAAATTTCAATCAAAAATTTGCATTCTATTTTGTATCTTATTACATATAATTAGCTGATACTGAAATTGGAAGAGAGTTAACAACAGGCATCAGATAGAGCTCAAAGTATTTTTAAAAACTGTAGAACAGAGTTTGCTAGTCTTGTGTAAAGTCTTGCATGGAAATTAAGCTAATATAAATCTATAAAAGCTATGCCATGAGCCTGAGGTCTATATTATAAATTGTAGCATTTTTTTATGTTATCTCTTTAAATAATATTGAGAGACTTTGACCAGGCTAAATGTTTAAAAATAATTTTCTCCTGTTCAAATTTTATGTATTCTGATAATTCTAATGTTCATTCATGTTTATTGAGCTGAAAAAAACTGGCTCCTCTTAGATCATTTAGAGACACTCTCTCAAAATTGTAACCATCCCCTTGCAAATACAAAAAGTTACAGAAATGGACTCAACAGAGACAAAAGTGAAAGAATTATTGGAGATTGACGAACATGTGGATAGGAAAGTACAAATGAATCTCATTTTTTAATCAGTAGAAAATTAGAATGAGTGAGCTTTTGAGGTCCCTTGGGAGACAGGCTAGATGGCCTTGTGATCAGAAAGTGATGCTTTCTCTAGAGCAGATTGATAGTCTGCCTTCTAGCCTTCTCCACTTAGAATAGAAGAAGCACGATCAATGCATAAGGGGCAACTTATTGAATCCTGTGTGACTTTCACTGAGGTGTTTCAGCCCTACATAGTGCAGCAATAGTATGTCTGATAGAAGTGTGTGTATTTTTTTCCAGAAGCATAACAGTTCAGTGATACAACCAGAGATGGAAAATATTGTTTATTTTCAAAGCTGGCTATGACAATGAAAAGGACCTTAATGATTTTACTTAAAAAATGCAAAAGGAAAAACTTATGTCAGCTCTTTGTATGCTATTCAGAAGATTTTATTTATGCCTTCCACATTCACCATGGTAAGCAGTTAGGTCAATCATAAATTAACTTTTCTTTTCATACTTGTGTTGATTTCAGCTTTTCTCATTATTCTATTTTCCCCTTACGTTTTGCATACCTGAAAAAAAAACCACAAACGAACCAAAAACCAGCCCAAAGAAGCAATGTATAAGAATGTTTAATGACTGCTGGACTCTTATATCCTTTATAATTTAGTCACTTCAATTACCTTATCAAGTTCAATTAACTGTTTGTTGGACTAATCTGTAGTTGTATAACTGTTGTCAACACGAAAACTAAGTTGAGAAACAGCAATGTAGGTATAGAATTTTATCTTTCCTATAGATTTTTTAATTAAAATAAGATGGCATAATATCTGAAGTAATTTTTCATAGTTTGGTCAAAAGACATGGTCAAAAAAGTATAATTTTTATTGTTTAAAATATAATAAAATGTGTCAGTCCAGTCTTCCTGTCTTACCTATTTAACTATTTCTAACATGTCTATTGGCTGTCATCTGGGTAGATCTGTTTTGATTTGAACAAAATGTGACATGGTATTTAGAATGGAAGGGGAAAAAAAAAGATTTTCAACAGATTTTAAGCAGTTTATTTCCTAGTTTTATTGGAAATCAACTTGATAAATAGGGTCCAAACAGAAAACCTTGGAACATCCTCCTCAGTCTCGATAACAAAAAAAAAAATCTATAAGACTCAGAGATTTCTGTGTCTCCTGGGACAAAGCAGTGAAGGATGGCCAAAGGCAAGCCACAGAAATAGTTTATCATGACACTGTCAAATGCTAAATGCAAAAATCCCTTGGACTAAGGCAGGCTGAACCTCTACTATGTCAAGGCTACAACATGCAGCAACCCAAACTATTATGCATACTCTCACAAGGTTACACTTAAGAACATACACAACTCATAAAAAGAAGGTAACAAGGGCGGAATGGAAAGGTAGAGGGAGGAAAGAGCTAATGAGAAACATCACAAACATGAATAGCTAAGTTTTATAACTAATTTTATTCAGAGATAAAATCCAATCCCTACACTCCAAAATGGTAGAATTTTACTATTTGAGTCAGTCAACAAACTCTATCAAAGTTTGTTTCAGAAACAGTATGGCATTTTCATGTTAAACTCACCTTAGAAGTGAGAGCTCAGAGAAAGTACATATTGGGTATGAATGCTTTTCAGTCTAAACTAATTCTAGTCAAGTGCTTCATTTCTTCATTGAAGTGCAGAGGAAAGGAATAGAGGAAAAACAGGCAAAACCGTCAGCTTGTCGAGTAAGGCAATGACAAGAGGAAAAAAGAGAGGAAAGAAAGCAAGGGCGGAGAGGCGAACAGATAGAAGGAAAGGACGTACGGCAGGAAGGAAACGGAAAGGTGGTGAAATCGGGGGGGGACACGAGCGTGAAAGCGGGGGAAACAACCAAGAAAGGGCCAGGGCAAGTCGGTACTAGGAAGCCATGGGGGACTCTAGGCACGGCGCGACTGCAACAGGGAAAGGCTAAAGGCACGCCCTCACGGTCCCGTAACTGCCCGGCCCGGCCCGACGGGCACGGGCCCGGAAGTATCAGGCTACGTCCCTCCAGGACCGTCAATTGAACGTCCCGTCATAGGCCCTTCACTTTCCCTTCCATTCCCTTCCCTTCCCTTCCCTTCCCTTCCCTTCCCTTCCCTTCTTCCCTTCCCTTCCCTTCCCGAACCTTCCCTTCCCGAACCTTCCCGAACCTTCCCGAACCTTCCCGAACCTTCCCTTCCCGAACCTTCCCTTCCCGAACCTTCCCTTCCCGAACCTTCCCTTCCCTTTTCCCTGTTCTCCTTTCCCCTTTCCTTGCCTTGCCTCACCTTGCCTCCCCTCCTCTCCCCTTCCCTCCCTTCCCCTCCCCCTTCCCCTTTCCTTTCGGTCCCTTTGCATCCCTTTTCTTCCCTTTTCTCTTCCCCTTTCCCTTTCCCCTTCCCTTCCCCTTCCCTTTCCTTCCTCAAAACCTTTTTTTAAGAAGCTCATTTCACAAAATTTGATGAAGAATGTACATAGTGACTTTTTTCCTTCTGTCAGCTGCATGAACTTAAGGCCTGAAGTAAAATTTTACATTACTGACAAAAATTGAGATTATTCAGTATGACTTAGACCAGCCTTCCACTTACAGAATAATTTCCATCTCCTTTTACCCTCTCTCTTGCAAGCTTCAGAAATCATTCTAACAATATAGCTGGGAGGAAGAAAAGTATGAAAAAGACACTTCCATTTTTCTAATATATTTTAATGTTATCCCATTTCATATTCTCTTTAAAATAAGTGAGGTCATATTACAGATCAGCGGACCATCACTCCAGGCTGGCCATCTTGTATGATCACAGGCAATTTACAGACAGTATATTTCTATACTCTCAGTTTACAGGCTTTTTACTAGGCAAAGCAGTTTGCTAGCAAATAAATAAATACATGCCTGACACATTCATAGTGTGGTAATGGCGGGGGGGGGGGGGGGGGGACGACTGTCGAAATTGTTTGAAGTCGAAGTAATCAGACTATAACCACGATTAACGGGGGGTGGGGGAGCGTTTGTAAGGAGTGTGCATCAGTTTAAACAGAGAGCGTTGGAAGGAGAGGATGGGGGAAGTTTCCCCCCGCTGGCCGGCCGCCGAGCATCCTACCGCTGTGCTCTGCTGCCACCTTGGCCGCGCCGTGGGACGTGCAGGCGGCCCCGCTCCGCGACTGCGGAGCTCCCGCTGCGCACCTGCGGCAGCGCTTCTTCTGCCCACGGAACCACACTCGGCCAGGACTAGTCGCGCTCCCCACTCGCGTCACATGCTCTTACAATCAGGACAAGGATGCATGCGATGCCTAAATGGTCTGGGGGGTTTTTGGGGTTTTTTTGAGCGGGGCTGGGAGTTATTCTTCAAAGGAAATTTATTTGCCTGCTGTGCTTAAAATCAGAGCTTAGGAATGTGGTTGGGAGGAGAATAACTTTTTTTTCTGTCCTTTTTGCTTTTTGTAGGATTCTTCTCCTCCCGTGCCCAGCCTTATCTTACATATTTGATGAAGAAAGCACTCAAATTCCCATTCATACGGCACCTACCTGCCTCTGTGTCCTTCCTGCTATGTGACCACTCTGCTCTGGAAAGAACTCGCGACAGCCCAGCCCACGAATGAGCTCTCGGTGGCGTTCAACTGCAGTTAGAGGTCGCGTCCCCACTTTTTTTTTTTTTTTTGGTGGGTGGGAGGGGGGGCAGAGAAGGTGACAGACACATCATAAAGCACTGAAAAAATATATAAATTAATATTAGAAAACCAGTGGAGTTTACTAATTTTGTTTCCTCCTCTACATCTTTGTGTTACAAGTGCTAATTCATTGTCCTGACATCAGGCTCTGAGCTAGTGGTACTGACTTTGAAAAGCTTTCACGCACTTCATTTCATCTTTGAATTGCACATGCTTTTCTCTCATTTTTAAGGCTTTCTTGCGCTTTGGAGGAAACATGTTCTGACATGCTGGAGTTTGGTGATGGTAAATATTTCCTTTGACTACAAAGTGCATGTGTGAAAAAAACTTTTTTTTTTTTTCTCTCATGGAAATATGGTTCTCACTCACTCCTGTCTCCGTTGTAGTTAATAACCTGTAAACGAGCTGAATCTGGAGGTCTGAGTGAAATAGCACTTTTGGAACTGTACTTTTTGTCATAACACGCTGAGGAAAGTGCAGAAGCTCTGTATATGCACGTATGAGAGGGATTCATGCCACGCATATGACAATTTGCATACTAGACTCTGGTGACAAAGAGGGACCGCAGGTGAATCCCCAGCGATCTGCTTTGTGGAGAGGATTTTTTCCAGCCCCTAATCACAGAGAAGTATCCAGCTCTCCATCTGCTTCCCAGAGCTGGCGGTTCTGATTTGTTTCAAGTGAAAATAACCAAGAATAGAAAATGGCACGTAATAAAGAGTCCCAAGCCAAGCAGCCGCGTTGTCCTGTTCTTCTCTTTAAACCAGCACTCCCCCCCGTGCTGAGGGCTCGGTGCCCGAACGACAGAAAGGGCTGCAAAGGGTTAAGACGCTGATTGCTTGGTAGGCAAAGTTTGAGGAAGAATATGTTTGAGTCTGAGTACGCTGCAGCCCGGCGTTTGAAATCTGTCACCCTCACTTACGAGCACTGCATCTGTGGTTGTCACCCGTGAATAATGATCGCACGGCGATAAGATCGCTCTGCGGCGGTGCACCGGGGCCGTCGGGGGAAGAAAAGGAAATTACGAGGCGTTTAGCCTCTTCAGCGGGGTGTTCTTCAGTGTCATCGGTGGGTGTCAGGGTCAAATGACCGGCTGGAAAGCAGCTTGGGAAGAAAGTTTCCTTCCTCCTTTCTTTGAGAGAAACCTTCGGTGGTGGTGATCAGTGACAGCTATGGAAAACAGAGACCTCCGTGGTGAACCTTAGAAACAGTACCATGCCGGAGCCCAGCTGTTCTGTCACTTTCTCCCCTTTCAACCTGCCGGACCCAGTGGGCTTTGGGTGACCTACCAAGGAGGACCCATCTCCACAGGAGCAGGTAATGCCCGATTAAGTAATTTTCTGGATTGACATGATCTTGATTTGATGATAAAATTACCTGAGTATCTTCCACTGACTTGAAGGGTAGACTGCCTGAGGGTCCAGAGGCAGGGAGAGAAACAGGAATGATTCTGTTTAATCCCTCTGAGACTGTGGGGCAGGGAAACTTTCTGCAGTCTTGCAGAACTTTTTAACATTCCCACTTTCTTCCGTGACTGGGGGCACAGAGAGCAGAAATACCTGCAATCGACAATGGTCTGCTCTGCCTTATATGTTGGCGACAGGTTTATAAATACCGGGAGCATGGAGAACGGAGGGATGGGTGGATTGAGGATAAGAAAGTGGGGTTTTTTCACTAGAAAATGCACTGGTTGTCCATCAGCTTCAGGAAGGAGATATGAATTATTGTCAAATAAGTGCTCTGAAAAGTATGCAGAGGCTTAAAGAAAGAAAAAATAGAAAGAAAAAGAACAGATTTTAAAAAGTAAAAAAAAACAAAAACAAAAAAACCAACAACAACCTAGAACAGTCTTTGGAAAGGGGTATTCATTTGCCTTTGGACTCTACGGGGCTCCTGGTCCTTTCATCTCTCGGAACCTGCTGGGAGTTACAGGCAGACTCCACTACAGGGTAGCCCCTGCTCCAAGCCAGGGATGCAGGCTCTCCCCGCGGGTCTGACCCGTGCCAGACCTGCTTCTTCCTGTCGGCTAAGACCCGCAGAGGGCCCCCGGCTGCCTCCCCTCCATCCCGGGGGCGCAGAACAGACCCCGGCCCCCCAGAGGGGAGCGGGGTCTCGTCCTCCACTCCTTTCCGTTCCCTGAGTCTCCTGAGGAATGTCGGGCTACCTGCGCTCCTCCTTCCACGTCCACCGCCCCCCCCGCCCCCTTCCCGCCCCCCGCCATCACTCCGCGTAGGTGAGGACGCAACTCCTTTTCCGAGCGGGCAGGCAGCGCGGCGCAGCTCAGTTTGGCTCCGGGCAATCCATAGGCGGGGGCACTCCGGAGCCCCCTTGGAGGGCAGGGGGAGGAAGCCAGGGCGGGTGCGGCGGGGCGGGAGCTGCGCCGGCCTGACCCTTGCCGGGGTTCGGCGGCTGGCTCCTCGGTACGGCTTTATTGAGCCTTTGAAGTCGTGAGTAGTTTAGCCCCCCCAAGCGAAGGGTGAAGGAGGCGCGGAGCTAATGGCGAGTGATTCAGCTTTTGAGGTAGGGCTGAGCAAATACAAGCCACTGAGCAGCCAGGGGTGAGGGGGAAGCAAACCCCGAGGCATTTCGGTTGCCATTTCTGTTTCCTCGACACATGGCATTGATCAGCTCCCTCTCGTTCATCCCTCCCCAGCCCGTCTCTTAAAGTAACTCGCAGCAAAAGCCATATTGTGAATGTTTTTTACTAATGGAGGAGTTTGAGGCAAATTCTCTTCGCAAATTCCACGTCCTATCTTGACGCTCAAGTATCCTATCACTCAAATGCTCCTCAGTATTAAACAGTCTTGCCTGTAAGTGGACTTGTCAGGACACGGCAGTAGCCTACTAGGGAGCTTGGCGGCGGGGGAAGGGTTACCCCGAAACAAGCGCAGACAGCCCGGGATGCACTAACACACACACACTCATACGGACACACAGTGAATGTGCGTTGGAGACATGGGCGGAGGGGGAGGTGGGGGTGGTGGGGGAGTTGTTACCGCTTTAGGGCAAAAGGCGGTTTCTCCAGCGGTTTTAAAGTCTTTCTGACTGATGATGGAAATCAGAATACTAAAGGAGGTCCGTCTCTTCCCTGAGGGTTGGAGATTCTTTTATTTTGTGTTACATTTGTTGCGCACTGTTACTACCTACCTAAAAGTTCGCAAGGGAGGGAGGAAGGAGAGGGAAAGGAGAGGGAAAGAAGAGGGTGGGGGAGGCGGGCTTGTCGACGGCTGCACATGAAATATCGCCATGTTGGTGGAGAGCACGGCTGTAATTACTGCCAGCGAGGGCATCTCCCAGGACCGCAGCTCGGGGAGTTTTTCAGCTCACTTCCCGGTTTCCCTTCCGATACACCCTGAGAGTCCCCGGAGCGGCGGTGCCGGGGCAGTCCCACCGCGAAGGGCGGCGATACCCCCACCTCCCTCTCCCGCAGCGCCGGCCCGGCGCTGAGGCGGGGCGGGGGTCGGGGGTCTGCGCAGCCCACACACACCCTCGGGCAGAGCCGCCCGCTTGGTTCCCCTCACTGAAAGCAGAGACGGAGGGCGAGTCCAAAGGGACGGAGCTCGCTAAACTGTCCTCAGCAAGCAAGGGGTTAAAAGCGGGCAGGGGGACAAGAGGGGGGGAATAAGGAAGAAAAAATCTAGCCTGACTTTGCCTCTTGGAAAGCTTTAGGTTGCAGTCCTGCCTTCCAAGCATTCTTTAAACTAGAAATGTGGGAGGGACTCCAGGAGAGAGAGAGAGAGATGGCTATCAACTGAATTCATTACTGTAAACATCTCCCTGGGGTGTCAGGCAGGGAGGAAAAAAAGGCACGACTTACATTAGCAGGGAATAGTGAGATCTGAGGCATCATTACTGCTAAGATCAGCCTGCAATCCCGGCTGGAGGCAGGCTCAGGACTTGGAGAGAGCCAGACACATACATACACACATACTCACATATATGTGCCCGATGCCTTCTCCGACTTCGGAGGGTCCTGGGTCGCCGTGCCTGCTCCTCATGTGATCCTTTCATCATTTCCAGAGGACAGAAAAAAAAAAAAAAGGAAAGAAAGAAACCCCAAGACCAAGCGTAGCCGCGGTCCCTTCTGGTTTATTTTTTTACCGGAGAAGGAGGAACGGCAGGGGGAAGAGAGAGCGAGGAGAGGAGAGAAAGTGCGTTGGGGATGCCAGAGCCGTGGGCTGCGCGCCGGAGGAGGAGGTGGCGGATCAGGGGGGAGGACGATGCCGCCGCCTCGTAAGGGCGGAGGAAGGCGCGGGGGTCGCTCGGAGCGGAGGCTGCCGGTGGGGCACGGGCCCACGGGGCCGGCCGGGAGCGGCACCGGGCGGAGGGCGGTGAAGGCTACCACCGAAGAGCGGCGGCGGCAAAGTTTTGGTGTGAGGGGCCAGAGGCGCAGAGGGGGAGTACGATCGGTGCCGCCGAGGGATTCCCAGACGCCGCCAGGTACAGTTGGGGTTTCATTTCTCTCTCTTTTCCTTCCTGGTAATTCTAGCCCCGGGCGATTTAAAGCCGCGGTGCCCTTTGCCTTCTCCGAGATGGCAAAGTTGAGGAGCCAGGATCAGTTTGTGTCAAAAATATCGCCTCCGCCTCGTTAGAGCCCCATATCCGCGGCGCCGGGCACGCACACGCATGGATTTATGAATGGCCGGCGGCAAGTGCTAGGAGGGTCCCCGGGATATTTTACGCCAGCGTGTGGCTCAGAAGCGGGACGCGGAGCTGGCAGCTGCAGCCGGGTCCCGGGTGCCCGCGTTCCTGGTCGCATTTCAGTGGCGAGCGAGAGGGTGCCGAGCCTGGCCCCCACCCCGTGGGGAGGGCAGAGCCGAGCACTACCCCTGCGGCAGGGGGACCGGCAGGGCGCCTGTGTGAGCACCACCAGCAGTACTATTTGGGAGGTGGTTCGGAGAAACGGGATCTTTAGAGGTGAGCGTTGCTTGGAAGAGGCGGTCGGCTTAGCTCGGCGCTGCCAAGTATTAAGGAACCTACGTGGAGAGTCGGGAGCTGCGCCCGGCGGGAGGATCCATCAGATCCCCAACAGCAGTCTCCGGAGCGGGGCTGGCGGTGAGTGGGTGGGGGCGAGGTTAAGAGAATCGGATCAGGACTTCGGAATACAAAGGAGCCACTCAGAGACCTGAGGAGTTACATGGTGATCTGACAAAATAAGGACAAATACTGCGGGGATTGGGGTGTGTGTGTGTGTGTGTGAGTGGGTGGGTGGGGATGGTGTATGAACAAAAAATAACAGGTCGCAAAAAGAAGTCAAGCAGCTGAAATGACCTCTCTTGAACATGATATAATACCCTATAAAAGATAAATAAACAATCAGCAAAGTAGGAGAATAATACTCTCCACCTTCTTTTTGGAGTGGGAATCAGTCAACAGGAGCTTTTAATTAATTTTAATGGAGGAAATCTGTTTTAAGGCTTACAGTAAGCTAATAAATCCAAGGCACAAATCCGTGTAAATTCCTGTACTGTGTATGGAAGGTACTGATTAGATTTCTTCATATGCTACTTTTTGCAATGCAGAGCTCAGCTAAATAGAAAGGGAGAGGTTCCTTGCATGAGGAGCAGGAAACGATACTAAAGCAAGTCAGACCTCTCCTTCTCTCTCCCCCTTGCTCCTCTCTCTCTCTCTTGAAGACACGATGTATATTAAAGAGAGGTTTATTTCCTGCATCTAACTTTACAGTGCTTGCAGGGAAATTAAACCACTTTAGAGGTTGAGATTGATCACTGCTTGGGTTTAAAAAACCAAACTAACCATACAAAAACTCCTACAAATTTCCATGGACTTAATTCCTTGCTTCATTCATTGACACGGTCTTTCACCAAGAGCAATTTTATAAATTTGTAGTTTTAGAGGAAACTAGTGAATTGGTTTCAGATATGTGTATTTTTGGGAGGAGAAAAATATGTCCTGGCATTTTTTCAAAACATCTAAAACATCTCTATCTACTTTTCTTTCCTTTCTTCCCTTAAAGAGTCAATATATGCAATCTTTGAGACATAAACTTTGCATAATTAAAAAGATATAACAGGTGTAATTTTAGAGGCACCATTTCTCCATGATAAAAGTGATGTTAAATGTTAATCTTGTTTCTGAAAATGATGTGAGAGATTTCAAGAGGCCTGCTATTTAAATGGTCATCCTCTATCCTGATACAGTAACAAGGCTGTTGAGTGCAGGCCTGGAGTACTGTAGGTGAAATAAGTCAGAGCACTGTGTAAATACAGTGTCTGTAAAACTACCTGTGACTAGAACAGTTATCAGTGTCTTTCAAAGTCCAAGGTTTTAGCAAGAAGTCGTGCTGGAATGCACCC